GGGCATGGAATCCCATGGCGGTAGTCCTGTCTCGGCGTTACACGGCGCTCCTGGCTCTGGGCCCCACATGAAGCAGCCATGGGCGGGACTGGTTGTCGACCGCAGGAGCAGTGGCGACCCCGCGGGGCAGGTGTCGCACAGGGCAGCGTAGGTGCCTTAGCGGTGCGAGTCAAGCCCGAATCTGCCGTCGGACAGCGCGTGGGCCGGGAAGGCGGCGCCGACCGCCTGCGGCCTGTAGACGGGGAGGGTGATCATGACCAGGTCACGCAGGCTGGTGGGGGACTGCGCTGAATCTGACCGCCCGTGCCCAATTGGGAGCAACTCTAGGGGGGGGAGTGCGGGCTCTCCTCTTGTAGCGCGCCTCATCCAAGGTGCGCTTGTACGCCTGTAGGCGCTGCTGGAGCGACTTCTTGTTGCCTTGGTCGCGCGCGGCTAGCGGGGCCTCGGGGCCCCTTCTTTCCAGCGACTTGATCCAGCACTGCTCGCAGTGCCACTTGCAGCTTTGGCCCTGAATGTCCGCTTGGGCGCGGTTTTGTGCCAAGAACCCCCTTGCGCCGTCATCCCCCCAGGTGCCGGCCGTGTCTTTGAGTCCCGTGTTTGGGCAGCCGTCTCCGTCGCAGTCGAAGCTGCCGTCGCGCTGCCTGACGTGGAACCTGTCGTCGCTAACCTCTGGTGGGGTGAGCGTTGCACCAGGCGCCGGGGATGCAGGGGAGTCTTCGTCGAGCCGATTGTTGGACATGGCTGCTCCTCCGCCGAAGTATTCCAGGTCCACCATTGAGTCTGGGCAGCCGAGCCCATCCTCGGACCCGCTGAGCTCCTTGTGCAGTGTGCTGATGGGGCACTTTTTCTTGCTCAAAGACTTGATCGCGGATGGTCTATCTCCTCCAGGACCCCCATGGGGGCCTCCAGCGTGAACTTGTGATTCAGCATCCCGGCCCAGGTGGTCGGGCACCCGTGGTTGGTTGCGACCTGGTGGTGGTGGGCATAGGTGGCGAGCGCGCTGATATGCTTGATGGTGTCCTCCATTTTCCCGTGGAGGGATGAGAGGTCACTCAGGTCGAAGCCCCAGGCCCCTGCAAACTTGGCCCTGTACTCTTCGTGGACACCCTGCCAGGGGTAGCAGATGCCCATGGCCGCTTCGATGATGTCCCCAGTGGCCTCTGGGCGTGGGAAGGGCCATAGCGTCGCTCGGGGCTCGCGCAGTGGGAGCATCATTACCACTAGGAGTACTCTGAGCGCGGGGGTGTCCATGGCAATGGGGAGCCCGTCGCTGCTGAGGAGGGAGCGCCTTAGCTCCGAGTTGGCTTGTCCAGGGCGGAGCAGTGACTGCAGGTGCTGCATCCCTGGGCGTGCGCGGTGCCGCCTGCATTTCCCTGTCTCTTGGCTCCATGCCTCTGGAAGCTGCTGTAGCACGTCGGGGGGAATGCAGCGGCTGGTACCCTTCGGGCGGTGGCTGACGCCCTTCACGTCGGGCAGGGGGGGGGGGGGGGGGGGCGACGCTTCGGGGACTGCTGGGCGCGAATTGGCCGCGGGGGTGCCCGGTCCGAGGAACCGGACCAGAGCGGCCCACGTTAGGTTGTAGACGTTGTTGCTTGCGTCAATGCCCAGCTCGACGTCGCAGCAGAATCCCACATGGCCCCATGCCTTGCGGTCGAGCCGGCCGGGCTGCCTTGGTGCGTCGGCTATAGAGTACTGGTGGGGGTGAAGCCCTGAAACGGTGTAGAGCCCCACTCCCATGGCGGGGTCCTCGAGGAGCCTCTGCAGGCTGTTACGGATGGCGTCACCGAGGCTGTTCCATGAGAACTCCGGGTCGAGTGGCGCAGCTATCCTGTCTGCGAAGTTCTTTTCCATGGAGGCACGAGATTTCACGGTCGCGTTGTCGAGCCCTTGGATAACCTCGTCTCCTGTGTGCGAAGGCGATGCGGGGATCCATGTGGTGAGGTCTCGGATGGGGTCGAATGTTTCGCCTACCGTCAGCGACCACCTGGTGCCTATGTCCCCCGCTTGTGAGAAACGTACCCAAAATTTGGCGAATCTTCCGTACTCAGAGAGCTCCCGGAGGCGCGACCCTGTGGCGGCGCCGAACATCCCCCCGTCACCGATGATGACCACGTTGCGGGTGGCGCGGGTGATAGCAACGTTCGCTCTGTTGGGGTGGTCCACGAAGCCCCAGTCACGCCGACAGTTGGACCTGGTTGTCAGGAAGATGACCAGGTCAGCTTCGCCGCCTTGGCTGGAGTCAATGCTTGAGATGGTGAGCTTGCCGTTTGCAAGCTGTTCTTCAGCGAGACGTCGCAGGCCGGGGAAGCTTAGGGAGATGTCTGTGAGCTCGGAGCTCCGCTGCACGAACACGCTGGCGTGGTCGCTGGTGTCTGTGGAGCGCTCTGGGGGGTGGGTTGGGGGGTCCTTGCCTGTGGCTGTTCCGTATTTCCCTTTCCATTTGCCCTTGGTCTTGGATTGCGTGAGGGCGCCACTGACGCTGCGTGCGCTTTGGGGCCATCCGTTCTCAAGGATGGCGCACTGTAGCTGGTAGCCGACGGCTACCCGCACTGTGGTTCCATTACGCATGGCAGGCAGGAGGGCCCGTACTATGTCCACCGTCTGCGCCGCCTCCGGTAGGTTGGCGCATCCTGCATGTAGCCTCGATGTGACCTCCAAAGAGGGGTTGCCCACCAGTAGGAAACGGTGCCGTTCCTCTTTGTGCTGATTTCCTGGGTCGAGGCCGCGCAACATCTGCTCCATATCATCTCTGGTGGTGCCCGCTGCCTCTGCTAGGCCTACGACTCTGGTGTCGCCCCACGGCTGGAAGTCACGCCATGGAAGCCCCTCGATCAGGGGTCTCTGCGACACGGGGTCGGTCAGGCCGGTGTGCATTGTGTTATTGTAGAAGACCCACTTCGGCCAGGCCAGCAGCAGGGGGTGCATACGGTAGCAAGGGCTGAGCTGAACCACGGCGGACTGGTCCTCCCTCAGGTCATGGTGGAGACGGTCGAAGATGGAGAGGCATAGCCCGAGCTGTTTGGGGTCTCCCACCAACACTGGGTGTCCACCGGAGCGGATGACGCTGTCCAGGGACATGGCAGCCATTAGCTCGTGTGCCTGCCCTCGTCTATGATGAGTAGGGCGACTGGGGCGGCTTTCTTTAGTGCTTCCGCCGATTCGTGCGTGGCGAGGATTCTCTTGGCATCCTTGAGCAGCTGGGTCCTGAATGCGGGGAAATCTTTGGAGGGGCCGCCTTCGTACGCTTGTGGGGATTCGCGCAGCGTCAACAATTTTGATACTGGTGTTGCCCGACGGAAAATGATACCGTAGCGTCGACAGGTATCTGGTGAGATCGGTCGATTAATTGATAGTAACTCCGTCAACAAGATAATGATATTGGTAAACAGCTATATCGATATACGCACACACGGTGAAAACGATAGGTAATGCTACTGATAACGACAAATCATACAACAAACCTGCAATCTGTGTATATACATCCGCCACCGTGCCTGCACTGAGTGGGCGTGTTAGAATACTCTTGTGTTGTCATGGAGGTTGCCCCCTTCGTTGCACGCGTGCTTAGCGTGCTCAGAAGATCGCCCACTCTGACATTGCTGTCTGGTGCTCGTTTCGCCCTCCGAACGACCAAGGTGGCCTCCAGGACGGATTCTCAGACAGCCAAGACGACACCAAAACGGCTCCAGATGGTGCAAAGCTCAAGAGGCTCTGAAGACTGCCTCAAGACGGCCCGAGAGGCCCCAGAGACGACCCAAGAGAGCTCCAAGAGGCCCTCCAGGAGAGCCCGATGAGGCCCAAACCATTGATCTTCCGTAAGTGTCTGAAAGAATTTGAATGACGTTCTCGCCTACGTATTTGGATTTCCGACCGCCCAAGACGGCCCAACGGGCTTCCAAGATAGCTCCAAGACAGCCAACGAGTCCGCCAAGAGGGCCCCGAGTCAGTCCAAGAGGGCCCCACGATCGCCCAAGAGGTTCCCAAGAGGGCCCTAAGACTGCCCTCAAGCGCTCCAAGAGAACATCAAGACGGCCCATAGAGGCTTCCAAAACGGCCTCCGAATGCGTCAGACGGACCAATCGCCTCCATAAGAGGCCCCCAAGGGGCCCCCTCTCAGGAGGCCCCCAAGGAAGCCCCAAGAGGGCCCGAAAAAGCCGTTTCCTTGTGGTCCTCATGCCATCCCTCTCCTTCTCCTCCTCCTCCTCCTCTTCCTCCTCCCTCCTCCTCCTGCTCCCTCCTCCTCCTCCTCCTCCTCCTCCTCGTCTTCTCCTCCTTAGTAAAATTAGTAGTTCTATTAAAAAGGTATTCGCATTCGGTGATTCTTACTACCATGCTCATCATTACTGATATTAGTATATATGTTCTTCATGTTATTATGCTACATATGATTGCTATCAGTATCCCTACTCCTTCTCCGCCTCCTCCTCTTCCTCCTCATCTTCCTCCCTATCGCGCGGACGAAGGCGATTTCGGGATCACGGCCCTCCCCAATTCAGAACACTCGCTGAACTCGTCACTCGTTCTACCGCACGGACGTAGACGAGGTCGACGAGGTCGACTTCACCACTACACCGAGGGCCTGTTGAGGCCAGCTGGGACTACCTGGGAGGGTTGCCTGTGCGCAAACCGAAGCCTTACCAGTGGGAGATCTGGGCCTGCTCCATGGCGGCATCTGCACATGTGGATGCTTGGAAATGGGCACTAACGCCATCACAGAGGGCTGCCTCTACTGGGGGAAGATGATCCTACATTCTGGTGTTGGTGGTAATACTTCGGCCACCTAGCAAGCCCGAATAGTACCACCATCACCGAGATCGAGATAATCTTCCCTCTGTGCATGCATACCGCAGATATTGGTGTCGGAATCAATCAAGCTTTACGGTCGAGGTCGATTGGAGAGGACACGCGAGAGGACAGAAAACCCTTCCCGCGAAACACAGGACACGAGGTTACTCTTGATGTGGTAGGGTCGACTTACTAATCAGCCTCGAATGTATGTTTCCGATGTTCTCTGTTGTCAAACAAGCTCGGCAGAGTAACTGTGATGATGTAGAGACACGGAGAAAGAGAGAGAGAGAGAGAGAGACAGAAAGAGAGAAAGAGAGAGAGAAAGAGAGGAAAAGAGGGATGGACAGGGTGCAGAGGGGAGAAGAGAGGCAACTAGCATCCCTGCAGCAGCTCAATATGACCGGCGGCAGCATGCAGCGGGACCCTATGGGAAAGGCCATCCCATTGCGTCCCCCAGATAAGAGCCAACAATAAGATGCAGCGCCTGCCGAGCATAGCGCGGCCCCTGAACATCTTGTACTTGGAATGGTAGTTTAATGTGTGCACCTGTCCTGACACATTGCGTCGTCAAAATGCTTTCTCGCAGAATGCGTCGGCGCTGCTTTTGAAAACAGTGCAGCCCCACGCGGCATGTGCGCCGCCTTTGCAGAAATCATAGGGTTCCTGTCCCGACTCTGGTGCACGCAAACTCGCTGTCAACGCGAAATAATAAACTACAAGCACACCCCAATAAACCACCAGATGCAGAACCCATTAAATGAGTACTGTCCGGTCAGGGAAATTCAAGTCCTGAACGAAATCTGAGGTCGTCACTAATAGAAGTTTAACAGCGAGATCGCCATATGATCTGACCCATCGCCCGAAGAGCAAGAAGCTCAACGCTTCTGCTTCGTGCGCAAAGGATCTCTGGGCCGCTGCCCAATTCACGTAGTATTCCAAATCCGTCTTGTTCATTGTCGTGGCTGTGGGACAGAACTCGTCCAAATGGCGATCCTGCCCCATCATGAGGAAGAAGAAAACGGCCCCAATAAGCTCTAGAAGGCATACGGGTAGGTTTGTAAGGAGAGCTGGAAGATACAAAACAAACACATCCTGGTCGATCGCACATGAAGTGGAGTAAACAACATGACAGACTCCATACACCCCACCGCAAACGGACACTAGGAACAGCAGCCGCAGGGCGATCGAATGCCACATCTGCTGCGCCGAAACCTCAGAACTACTCGCCGTGTCGCACGTTGTGGTTTCCGAAGTTGGCAGCGACACGATGCCGAAAGTTACCAGCGCCATGCTCATCAACACAATGACGTTCTGCCGCATTGCTTGAGTCATTCGCGTACACCGGTTACAATAAGTAGCCACTTGGTCAGGTGTGACGTCGTACAAACTAACCCCACGGTTCAATGCGCCGAATACCAGCCAGTGGAAAGACCGAGAGCTGATGTTGGCAATGTCCCTCAAAGGGCCAAACGCGAAGCAGAGGGATGAGGAGAGAACTATCACGCAAGCCACCCAGACAGACCTTGTAAACGGGTCGGATTTATCCCTGTGCAGCGCGAGGACTTCTGAGATAGTTGACGAAGGTACACTCAGGTGGCTCGATGCCCAGGTGTGCACTGGGTCCAGGAAGAAAGAGAAGTAGGCAGAAAGCACCAATACAACTACTATGACATTGGCGACGTATGGATACCATATGAAGATGCAATAATACCACGGCCTGGTCGCGCCGTCTGAGGGCACCAATAGATGGTACTGGTACAGGGTCGCAAACGTGTCCCTGTGTTCCTGAGTGTCGATCATCGAAATATCAAAATTTTCCTCGTCAAAGCTCATCTAAGTAAAAGCGGAGCCACCCGAACTCAAGAGTTGAAACGGCCTGAGCCACGTGGCTTAAACCCAACTTGCTTGAGACAAAATGGCTACGGAGACTGTAGGCCTCCAATTTGGACGCCCGAAATGGGTACGAACATATGTCAAGATGCCCAACGACACGTGTTGTCAAAAACCTACAGCGGCCGCTGTTGGGCAGGCGGCATTCTGTCCCAAATGGACACCGTCCGTGGCGACACCGACAACGAATCCTGCTCAAAATGGACAGGAATCGGTGTCGCTCTTCGTACCAATTCCTCCCGTACAGATACTACAGTCGACCCGTATAAGAAGGACGCACGATAAGGATGCAAGTGTACCCTTGGAAGGTTGCTCATCCTTACTATGCGGATTGACTGTACATGTCGGTCGAAAGAAGTAGGTAAAAACATGACGTCGGATGGCGTTGAACTAGATTGGGCTTCTGCCCGCCCCCTGAAAAGGAAGAACAAGCCAAACCACTCGACCCTTGAAGTAGGACGGCGGCTAAAGTAGATTGGGATATGGAAATCTGAAAGACACTGCTTTCAACGACCGACGGGTAATGAGCCTGGACTGTAGGCCTGGCGGCGCGCACAAAGGGGGTGGAGGGAGGGGGGAGGGCTTCTTAGGAGGAGGCTGCTTCTTATAAGGCGCCATTCTTACATCTGTAGTAAGGCCCACGCCTTCTGAGAAGCAGGGGTGCTTCTAAGAAGCCCTCCCCCCTCCCCCCCGCCCCCCTCTGCGCGTGGCTGATGGGCCTCCCTCTCGGGGCAGCACCCTGCCGGGCGGCGGCCGCGCCGGTCCTGCAGCATGGTGACGACCTTGCGGATGGGGTTCGCGCGGTGCTGCACCTGGGCGCGCAAGCCGCCGCCCGCCGACGCAGCAGATGCCGAGGGGCGACGACAACGACGACGACGACGACGACGACGAAGCCGACGCCGACGCCGACGCCAACGCCGCAGAGGCCGAGGGGCGACAACGGTAAAGACGACGACGACGCCGACGCCGACGCCGCCGCCCCCGCCAAAGACGACGACGACGACCACGACCACGACCACGACGGCGACGACCACGACCACGACCACGACCACGACCACGACGACGACGACGACGACGAGCCTCGCCCTTCGAACCTTCCTCGGCCTTCCCAGACATACGACGTCGCGAAACAGCTGCAGTACGCCGTAGCAAATTTCAGCCAATTATACCCCATGCCTATCGTCCTGTCACACTTTTCGAGCCGGCTCCGGGAGGGTGGGGCCCGAAACGGGCCAAAAACTCGCCCGTTGTGAGAGAATGCGCCGCAATGATCCCAAGAGCTCCCTCGTTGCCGTCCGCCCGACGCTCCCCGCCTCGGTCCAGGGCCACGCTGACGGCTCGGACCGCTGCAGCGCTCCCGCCGCCGTGGTGTCGGCGAGAGGTGCTTGGCGAGTGCGCCCTTGTGGTCGGCAGGGGGCTCAGCTCCGGAGAGGGTGCAACGTTCGGGGAAGCACCAGCTCAAGGGGAGGGGGGGAACATCGACCTGGAATCGGCGACACATCGCCGACAGATCGGGAACCTCGGCCTTCGAACCTTCCCCGACCTTCGAATCTCCACTCTTCGGTGAGGAGACGCGCCGATGCGCCAAAGGTCTGGGCCACCCCCTCGCCCGCTCCCCGGGCAGGCACGGCGCGCCCAGCACCAGCTGCCCGGAACAAAGCCCAACCTCGATCCAACAGGCCTCGCTTCCTCCTCCTCCTCCTCGCTCCTCGCTCCTCGCTCCTCCTCCTCCTCCTCCTCCTCCTCCTCCTCGTCCTCCTCCTCCTCCTCCTCTTCCTCCTCTTCCTCCTCCTTCTCCTCCTCCTGTACGGGTCCAGGCGCGCAAGGATCCGCAAGCCACGGCCTCACCCACCTGGTCTGAGCTAGGCCCAGACGCTCTTCCGCAGCGGTGGTCGTTCGTTCGTTCGTTCGTTCGTCCCTCGATCGACGACTGCGCAGCGACCGTCGCGTCGAGGCGGGGTGGGGCCTTCTCATACACTCTCGCGTCCTCCACTGTATTCCTCTCCTCCCTGGCGAGGGCGGGGACCTCCCTCCCTCCCTGCTTTCGAGAGCGGCCAAGAGGGGGGCGTCCAAGAGGGGGGGGGGGGGGGCGCAAATCATGACTGGCGGCATGTGCGCGGCCCAAGTGGGGGCCAGGGACGAATTGAAACGAGACGAGGCGCCATGGAATCTGGGGAGATCTCATGGCCCCCGCCATGATATCCCCCCCCCCTAGTCACCACCCCCCTCTCTGCCGTCCCCGATCCTTCCCGCCCCTGCTCCTCTCCACCTTGGCGAGGGCGGGGGCCGTCCTGGCTCCGCTCGGCCGACGCGGCCGGCAGGCCCACGGCGAGGCACAGGAGGAGGAGCGGGGTGGCGCAGCGGGCGGCCATCGCGGGCGCAGGGCGCCGCTCTCCGGCTTCGTTCGGGGCGGGGGGGGGGCGAGCCTGGGCCGCAGGACTGCCCGTCGGGACAACGGCGGCCCCAGAGGCCCCCCTCATGAGGTCCGAGCATATGGGGTCCGAGCATCGCGCCGCAACCCCGACGCATCGGCGATTCATCGGCGACGTCGGCGGTGATCCGGCGACGTGGGGATGGAAAGAATCGGGCTCCACATTGCGCCGCATCGCCGATGTATCGGCGATGCGGCGCGATCCCAGGAGCCTACCTACCTGGACCCCAGTTGGGACACCTGAAAGCCCTCAATCATGATCGTCGCACATCTTCATATCCACGCCCTCGCGGTCTCGATTCCGGAGCGAGATCCCGTTGAGCGCAGGGGGCATCCCACGATAAAAAATTAGCCTGGCGAAGGATCCAACCATACGCAGTTGTGAATACCGTCGTTGTGAGTATCGCATTTGGTGGTACTCTCTATGGGCCACGAAACGCTGTCCTGGGTGGGGGAGACGCATGCGAACTGTGCCACTGGGACTTCGGTGGGGCTCCCGACGGGGTTACGAAACGCTGTCCTGGGTGGGGGAGACGCATGCGGCCCCCCCCACTGGGGCCTTCGGTGGAGCTCCCTATGGGGCCACGAAACGCTGTCCTGGGCGTGGGGGACGCATGCGGCCCCCCCCACTGGGGCCTTCGGTGGGGCTCCCGACGGGGCCACGAAACGCTGTCCTGGGCGTGGGGGACGCATGCGGCACCAACCTCTGGAGCCTTCGGTGGAGCTCCCTATGGAGCCACGAAACGCTGTCCTGGGCGTGGGGGACGCATGTGCCCCCCCCCCCCCCCCCCACCGGGGCTCTCTATGTGGCCACGAAACGTTGTCCTGGGCGTGGGGGACGCATGTCGCCCCCCCAACTGGGGCCTACGGTGGAGCTCCCCGCGGGGCCACGAAACGCTGTCCTGGGCGTGGGGACGCGTGTGCCCTCCCCGCTGGAGCCTTCGGTGGAGATCCCTATGGGGCCACGAAACGCTGTCCTGGGCCCCACTGGGGCCTTCGGCGGAGCTCCCCATGGGGCTACGAAACGCTACCCTGGGTGGGGGAACCGCATGCGAACACCCTCATTGGGGCCTTCGGCGGAGCTCCCTATGGGGCCACGAAACGCTGCCCTGGGTGCGGGAACTGCATGCGAACACCCCCACTGGGGCCTTCGGTGGAGCTCCCCATGGGGCCACGAAGCGCTGCCCGGGGTGGGGGAGAGCATGCGGGCACCCCCACTGGGGCCTTCGGTGGAGCTCCCTATGGGGCCACGAAACGCTGCCCTGGGTGGGGGAACCGCATAAGGGCACTCCCACTGGGGCCTTCGGTGGAGCTCCCTATGGGGCCACGAAACGCTGCCCTGGGTGGGGGAACCGCATAAGGGCACCCCCACTGGGGCCTTCGGTGGAGCTCCCTATGGGGCCACGAAACGCTGCCCTGGGTGGGGGAACCGCATGCGAGAGCAGCCACTGGGGGTGGGTGGGGGAGCCGCATGCGAAGAACCACAGCACTGGGGCCTACGGTGGAGCTCCCTATGGTGCAACCGCATGCGGGCACCCCCACTGGGGCCTTCGGTGGAGCTCCCTATGGGGCCACGAAACGCTGCCCTGGGTGGGGGAACCGCATGCGAGAGCAGCCACTGGGGCCTTCGGTGGAGGTGCCCTATATGCGAGCCAGCTCCCTATGGGGCCACGAAACGCTGCCCTGGGTGGGGGAACCGCATGCGAGAGCAGCCACTGGGGCCTTCGGTGGAGCTCCCTATGGGGCCACGGAACGCTGCCCTGGGTGGGGGAACCGCATGCGAGAGCAGCCACTGGGGCCTTCGGTGGATCTCCCTATGGGGCCACGAAACGCTGCCCTGGGTAGGGGCATGCGAGTTGGGGACAGCACCCTATGCGAAACGCTGTCCTGGGTGGGGGAACCGCATGCGAGAGCAGCCACTGGGGCCTTCGGCTAGCATGGCTGGGGCCTTCCATGCGGCCACGAAACGCTGCCCTGGGTAGGGGAACCGCATGCGAGAGCAGCCAGGGGCCTTCGGTGGAGCTCCCTATGGGGCCACGAAACGCTGCCATGGGTGGGGGAACCGCATGCGAGAGCAGCCACTGGGGCCTACGGTGGAGCTCCCCATGGGGCCACGAAACGCTGCCCTGGGTGAGGGAACCGCATGCGGGCTGTGTCACTGGGAGCTTCGGTGGAGCTCCCTATGGGGCTACGAAACGTGTGAGAGGTGTGCCGAGAACAAAGGCAAGGAGGGGGAGGGGGAGGAGGGAGGAAGGAGGACGGAGAAGGGAGGAGGGGGAGGAGGAAGGAAGGAAGGAGGAGACGCGGGGCGCTGTCTATTCAAAACGAGGACCCAACACCACAAGATGGTTGGGAAATATCCTAGCGAAAACACCGTTAACCACATGCAAGTATGAATACCGTGTTGTGGCACCGCTTTTGGTGGAGCTCTCTATGGGGCCACGAACCGTGTGAGGGGTGCGCCAAAATGAGGTGGCGCCGCCATCCGAACCCTGCCACTGGGGCCTTCGGTGGAGCTCCCTATGGGGCCACGAATCGTGTGAGGGGTGCGCCAAAATGGGGCGGCGGCGCCATGCGGACCCTAACACTGTGGCCTTCGATAGAGCTCCCTGTGGGTCCACGAAACGCTGTACTGGGTGTGCCGAAGTGGTTGACATGCGGAGGGCAGGACGCAGGGATAGGGGATAGGGGGGGGCAGGATTGGGGAGCGAAGAGCAGGAAGGAGACGTGGGGCGCTGTCTCTTCAAAACGAGGACTCAACACCACAGGATGGTTGGAAACTGATATACGTGGGGTCGCAGACAAGAGGCCCGGCCCGTGAAACCCTGGATGTGGACACGTCTCACGCCCACGCCTGCCGGGCGGCTCTTCTGGAAACTTCTCGGACATCGGATCGGGGTGGACCCCGGGCCGGGGTGTCGGGGGACCGAATCGAGCGGAACCGGGCGGGAGAGCCGCCGTTGTCTCAACTAGCCCTCCTCCGACTCGGGGGGCAGCAGCAGCGGTGGACGTGCCCTGGAGGACGCAGGCTACCCGGACGCTCGGCGGATTGCCTTTCAGTATCGTGTTCCATGTTTGGAATTACTGTTCCAGGATCCTGACGGTTCGATGGCGATATTCTTCACCCAGGCGAATTCACTTGCATGGCAGTTGGCTCCCCCCCTTCCCCCCCCCCGCCCGCCGCCTTTTCGAACAGCGCTGGGCCGAAAAGGCGTGCAAGTAAGTCCTGACTTGCGTGACATCCAGATTTACCTTACGTCTCGCCACGCCTTCCCTCTCCCTCCATGCAAGTAGACTTGCCGGGGTCATGCGAAAACCTGTAGTTCTTCCCTGAAGTCGGCCCCCAGGGGCGGCTTCTGAGCCCCAGGGCATTCCAGAATTGCTCCCGGACGCAATAATACCCCCAGGGAGGGGGTGAATATCCCGTGGGCCGCGGATTGAACAACTCTCATCCTCGAGTAACAATTCCCGCAGACGGAAATTTGATTCGCGTGCTCAAGAGCTGGCTGGCATGTCTGCCCAATGAGCTGGCTGGCATTTCCGGGTGTTCGCCTGGAGCCCGCCCGTGAGTGCCTCGCGGGCTCCGCGTGCGCTGGCTTGCCTTCGCCCGTTTCCGCCCGTAGGGCCTGTCCTGGCCGCGCCCTTCTTGGCCCCGCAAGGTTGCGGATGCGCGGCGCGTGGGTTTCCTGAGCTTTCATTAAGATCCGACATTATGCAACACTGTTATGAAAGAACACACACTCACGATCGGAGCCCTGGGGCCCATCTTTCCGCGGCACGTTTCGAGCCGGCTCGATCCGTGAGGGTCCCTGGGCACGAAACGTGGCAAGCATCGTCCGCTGCCACAGGAAATGTAACGCAATGATGTCAGGATGCCTCCATCCTTCAGCACTTGATTGAGGTCTGTTCGGCGTGTGAATATTTCGTGCCGATCTCGTCCAGTACGTTTTGTGCCAGCTGCCGTATGATACGCCAGTCTCTCGTCGGGGTTGTGCCTCGTGGGGGGAGGCGGGGGAAGAACGAGAAGGGGCAGGAGAGAGGAGGAGCAGGAGGAGGAAGAGGAGGAGGAGGAGGACGAGGAGGGGGGTCCAGTGTTTAACCCGAGACTCCTCAACGATGTTGGAATCAACCTTCCCTCCAAACTCCCTCCTCATAGGCCCCTCAAGGGAATCATTTCCACTGAAGGGAATGCTCCGTTGGGAGACAACCGTTTGAAGGTCCTGAAGCATGCCAAAACACAAATCTCACGACTCAAACGCCACGAATCAACCGGACTGTTGCGTCTTGACGATCCTGAATCGCGCCAGAACACCATTCCTGGGACTTCAACACCGCCAATCCACGTAAATATTGCGACCTGACAATCCTGAAACGGTCCAATACACAATTCCTGGTACCATGGGAACCCGTGAAACTGTTGCAAATGTTTAAAACGATTATGCGCGGCGCTAAGGCGAGAACCACATTTTGAACATGAGCCACCATCAACCCGTGAAACTCATGTATTTGTTGTTAGCGAATGTGCGCGGCACTACAGCGAAAACCACAGTTTGAACACCGCACGCCCTCAACCCGTGAAACTGTTGCAATGGTTTCAAACGACTGTGCGCGGCGCTCAAACGAGAACATACATGTTTCAAAACGACGTGCCCTTAATCCGTGAAACTTTGTATGTTGAAAAAGTAAATGTGCGCGGCGCTCAGGCGAGAATCGCATTTGGAAGCGGCCCGCCCTCAATGGTTGAAACTGCTGCAAGGTGTAAACTCCGGGATCATACAAATTTCAGGCGGAACGTCCGGCTCGCCATTGGGGTGCGACAGGGGGAGTGACTCAGAAGGACCGGGGATGGAGAATGAAGAGGAACGAACAAAAGGAAGGGAGGAAAACGGGAGGATGAGGAACACGTGCGAAGTGGACAAAAGGGAACGAGGAGAAGGAGGC